TCCATTATTCTTTCAAAGAAAAACAAACAAACAAAAAACCCCACACATCCCCAGTGAGGATTAAGAAAAAAAGGAAAAGAGAGAAGAGAAAAATGAAGGAAGATTCCAGCGTTCCTCTGAGAAGGGCCACAGAGCTCCAAGCAGCACACACAGAAGACAGCGAACCAAACCCCCTCCCGGCCCGTCCTGAGCACTAGACTTGGAGGACAGCCAGGAGGACGTTCAGAACGAAGCAGGGGAGCTGGTGGGGGCTGTGTGCTGGCTGCTTCCTGTGTCCTCGCCTGCCAGGCCCCTAGTTATTTGTGAGGTTCGGCCCCCACCTGCGGAGCCACGCTGTGCAGGCCCAGGCAGAGCACCAGGGGAGGGCAGCCCAGGTTCCCGTCTTAACAAAAGCACAGGGAGAATGGACAAGTTCTCAACCTCTTCAAGGTGACTGGCCCCAGAGGACCCAAAAGAGGTCTGGAGTGACAAGTGAGTAAGATGAGTGAGGGGGGGCACACCTCCCACCAGTTATCCTGGGCTCTCCCCCCTCAATCCCGCCATCTCCCCTACACTCCCCGGGCTCACCCCTACCACGGCAGGCCCTCACCTCTGCTCCAGGCTCCCGCAGCAGCAGCCCTTCCTGCCCAGGCTCTATCCATCTCATTCATGGAGCCAGGGAGGTCTTCCTAAAATAACCTGAGCCCAGCACTCTGCCTAAACGGTCTATGGCTCCTATTCCCCCAGGACAGAGCCCCAGGCCCCACCGGGCTCACAGAGACCCCGCAGCTGGCTCCCCGTCTCAGATGCACTTCGCCCCCTGCGGGGCTCTGCCAGGAACCGGGCAACCAGAGGGTTTTCCAGGCTGTGGCCCGGAACTGGGAAAAGGGGCCGGCACAGGCACTCCCTGGGCCTGGGTGGACGCAGGCCTGGGAAGCAGGGCTGTTCCTGGGGGCCTGCCAGCTCCCAGTGGTAGATGACAGCTCATTACCTATGTACACAGGAGCGCACTCCTTTGCCCAGGGCTCCCCTTATCTTCAAAGCTTCTGAGGTGGAGAAACCGCAGCCTCCTCCTCCCTGAGTCGTCCCCCCCACCCCCCCCCACCCCCCGCTGTGAGAACAAAGGCCCTTTGACCTGGGTCCTCTGGCCAGTTTCCCACTCTACCTGTAACCAGGCAGGAGAAACCATTCAACAGCAACAAATGACCAGGCAGGATATGGTGATCGGGGTCTGTGCTGTGGGGACACAGGTGAATGAGCCACCATATCTGTCCTCAAGTAGCCGGCGACGGACAGACCAGATGCCACGGACAAGTTTCGGAGCCAGACACTCGAGCCCTGGTTTTGCCTCTGATCACGGCCGCGTGTCCTTGAGAAGGGCCCTCCTCTGTAAAGCGGGATGAGAATGTGCACCCTGACGACTGTTCTGAGGACTGCCTCCGATAAAGTATGGTGCTGGGGACGCCATAAGTACCCAAGAAACAGGAGGCCTGCGTTTGCTTCAGACGGGACACTTGCTGAGCCAAAGAGAAGGAACAGAGAAAGGGGAGGCCAGGAGCGGGAGGGGACTGAGAAAACAGAGCAGTTTCCCTGACAGGCCCCTGACAAATGGGGCTGAGGTCGCAGGGATGTGGGGACACTGCCAGAATTCTCAGCCCTGGCCAAGCCTGGAACCACCCGGGAGCTCCCCAAGGCCTGCCTCCCAGGCCACCTCTGAGTTCTGCTCTGGGTGGGACCCCAGCACTGGAATTCCAGGGCAGTGGGCAGAGGACCACTGGTTCTCGGACGCTCCGAAGGCCCCGTGGGGAGCAAACCTGAGCCACCCAGTGTGTCCCACACTTGCTTGACCACTTCTAGAAACCCATTAAGATCCTCCGGGAGCGTGTCAGGGAGGACACGCTGGGAAATGCAGACCAGGGTTTACAGCAGTCTGTGGAGGCGGGAGGCCTCGTTACATTCCTGACTCTGCCAGTTGCGAGCAAGCACTCTGTGCCTGCCGACCTCTGGGCGTTGTTAGGGGTCACATGGGAAACACTGGTAGATGCAGTTTGGCTCACACTACCAAGTGCATCCCGGTCCCCAGCACAGGGGCTGCATCCAGTTCCCCAGCAAATCCATGCAGAGGCCCTATGTGGTGAGCAACACAGACCTGGTTCCAGCCCACACAACATACTCTGGTGTAGGAGACGGATGTGAATCAAAGGGTCATAGAGATACATATCTATACTAATAATAGAGGAATATTCAAATTGGTCGGGACACTGTCACGCAACGACCAATCAGGACTGGTTGGGGGGCGGAGAGCTCTCAACACGCCTGTGCCCGGGCGGGGTGGGGGTTGGGGGGGTCCAAAGGGCATGGAGAGGAAGGGAGAGCAGATAGGCAGTTAGGGGGATCAGGCCAGGAGGGCAGAGCAGATAGGCAGTTAGGGGGTCAGGCCAGGAGGGCAGAGCAGTTAGGGCCATCAGGCAGAAAGGCAGGTGAGCGGTTAGGAGCCAGTGGTTCCAGATTGCGAGAGGAATCCCGGATTGGAAAGGGTGCAGGCCAGGCTGAGGGACCCCTCCCACCCCTTGCGCGAATTTTGTGCACCGGGCCTCTAGTTTACATATAAACTTATGGAGGAGGATGAGGGCTGCCAAAGAAAAACTGGGGAGGGGGCTGCGAGAATGTAACAAGGATACCTGACTTCTGGGGACTCACGGTTGGCTTCTCTGAGGAAGGGCCATTTGGGCCAAGACTGGAAGGATTAATAGGTGTGAACACAGTGAAGCAATACAGGTGAAATGAGCTGGGAGATGAAGAAGGCTGGGACAAGCAGGAAGAAGAGGGAACCTGGACTAAAGGAGAGGGGACAGATGTGAAACATTTAGACAACAGAATGGGCAGGGCCTGGTTGGCTGAAGGTGATGGAGAAAGGGCAGATGTCAGGGACTACTGAGTTTCTGGTGTGAAAGTCAGGATGGATGGGGCTGCTGAGACATTGCAACGCCCCCACCCCCTCCGTCCCCAACACACAGGCCGACGCGCCCTCCTTTTCCCTGCTTTATGTTCCGCATAGCATTTTCCCAACGTACTATATACGTGACTGACATATATTATTTATCTGTCTCCCCCACTGCAACATGAACTCTGGGAGGGCAAGGACTTTTATATGGTTCACTGAGTCATCCCCAGAGCCGGCATCAGGGCCTGGCACCTCGCAGGTTTTAGTTAATGTTTGTTGAATGAATGAACTCTGAAGAAACTAGGTTAGCATCATAACATCCAACACCCTCCTTAGGGCTTCTAAATTGGGAAGAAAACCTAAGCCCGAGGTCAGCAAACCGTGGCTCGCGAGCCACATGCGGCTCTTTGGCCCCTTCAGTGTGGCTCTTCCACAAAATACCACGTGCGGGCGCACACATACAGTACGATTGAAACTTCGTGGCCCATGCGCAGAAGTCGGTATTTTGTGGAAGAGCCACACTCAAGGGGCCAAAGAGCCGCATGTGGCTCGTGAGCCACGGTTTGCCGAGCCGCAGTTGCCGAGCCGCAGTTTGCCGACCACTGACCTAAGCCAATAAAAATATCTTATAGCCCTAGCCCAGTGGTCGGCAAACTCATTCGTCAACAGAGCCAAATATCAACAGTACTTCTTCAAAACAGACTCGCCCAGGCCGAAAACCGACTTCTATGCATGGGCCACGAAGTTTCAATCGCACTGTACGTGCACACCCGCACGTAGTATTCTGTGGAAGAGCCACACTCAAGGGGCCAAAGAGCCGCATGTGGCTCGTGAGCCGCAGTTTGCCGACCACAGCCCTAGCCGGTTTGGCTCAGTGGATAGAGCGTCGGCCTGCGGACCAAGGGGTCCTGGGTTCGATTCAGGTCAAGGGCACGTACCTCGGTTGCAGGCTCCTGCCCGGCCCCAGGCCCTGGTCGGGCATGCACATACACAAGGCAGCCAATCAATGTGTTTCTCTCACATCAATATTTCTCTCTGTCTTTCCCTCTCTCTTCCCCTCTCTCTGAAAATTAATGGGAAAAATATCCTCAGGTGAGGATTAAAAAAAAAAGTCTTATATATACAAGATGACGATCATAAGAAGAATATTAATGAAAAAAGTGAGCCGAGCCCCCATTTATTAAGCACACACCTCTCCTCCACCCTTTCTTCTTAGTAACAGATTTTGCAACAATAACTCCCATCGTTTGGGGGCTGATTGTTTTAGACATTGCACCAAGAGCTTTAAAGTTTGAGCTTGCCTGTAATTCATGACGACCAACTTCCAAAACGCTGAGCATGCGCCTAGCTCAGGGCTCTGCACCTGTCCCAGACATGCTTCTCCCCCTTTACCCCGGGCTTTGCTTCCTCCCTTCTCTCCGTCAGAAATTCTCTCCTCTGTAATCTACCACGCCACACCTTTCCTTTCCCTGATTTTACTTAGGTTTTCCTTATAGAAATCTTTTACTAGCTCTCCATAGAACTTTTACTTATTGTTTGTTTGACAACCCTACCAAAATGTAAGCTTCCTAAAAAAAAAAATGTATAAAAAAAAAAGGAAGCTTCGCAAGGACACTGAAACAGTGCCTGGAACATGAAGACGTTCAATAAGTGGTCGTTAAATTAATAAATGTCCCACTCTGAGACCGAGGTGGTTATGACGCCCATTTTATAAAGGAAGAAACTGAGGCACAAAGACATTGACTCACTGGCTCTCGCACCTAATGAATGTCGCAGGGATTCAACCCACAGGTCCTCCGAACACATCCAATACAGTCATTATTATCACTGCTGCCCGCTTATTCAGCGCCAGGACTTGAGCTCAGAGCTTAACCCCAGCCGTCTCGCTCCCTCCTCCTACGAGAACCCGCGAGGCCAGCCCGGCGGGGACCCCCCCAGAGAACAGAGGAGGAAGCCAGCGCCCAGGTCGCCCAGCGGGGCGGGGCGGGGGCGGGGCCAGAGTTCGACCCGGGCCGCCGCCACGCCCTCGCGCCCCCCGGGGCCTCTCTCCCACTTTCCCGCCGCGACCTGCGCTCACCCCGGGGCCGGGGTCGAGGTCGGAGTCGTGCGCCCAGAGCTCCGCCACCATCTCCGTGTGTAGAAACTCGAACAGAACCGCGTCCACCATTCGTCCGCCTCGCGCGCTTACCTACCGCCCAGCGCTTCGTGCTCTCATTGGCCCGGCTGAGCTAGCTCCGCCTCCTGCTGCGGGGCGCGAGCCCGCCCACTCACGCTCCCAGGGTGCTCCCGGGTAGCTCCGCCTTCCCCCTCCTCACACGCGGTGCGCGCGTGAACTTGGGACACCGCCTTCTCCGTTTCTGGGTCCTCCAGCAAAGCCATTGGCAGAATCACTGATGACACGTGACAGAACTCGTTTTTTTAAAAAAAAAACCCTATTTGTCCACTCGCCTCGCAGCACAACCCGGAAGCGCAGCTAGAGTGCTTCTCTATTGGTCGTACTTCTTTACACCCGCCCACAACGTAGGGCCTCAGGGTGGCTTGCTGCCTGGCCGGCCTACGTGATTGGTCAACGCCCGCCCAACCTGATGTCCTATTGGTTAGGGCTGCCACGCCTCCCTGCGTACGGCGCCGCACTTCCGCTGGGTAGCGCACCCCGCAGGCTCCGAGCTGCCTCCACCGGGTAAGGTGTTCAGTGACAGCGCAGCCCTCCGCCCCGCTAGTGAGTGCACCTTTCCGAGCGCAGCTGGCTGGCTGTCACTCCTGTGACCCCGGCCCAGGTCCCTGAGCAGTTCCTGGAGCCCGAGGGCTTCCGGTTGTGGCCTCTGCTCGGAGGCAGAACCGGAAAGAGCCCAGTTTGGGACTGAGAGCTGCGGCCTCAGAGTCTTGATCGAGCTGGTCCTCAGTTTCCCTGTCAGTACATTGAGGAGGTTGGGGCCCAGTAGCCCCGACATCGCTGGCAGGGATGATGAGTCCCTTGCACAGAAGAGGAAAATGAGGCCCAGCCTGGGACGTGGTGGCCCCAAATCGCTAGCATGGTGGAGGGGCTGGGAATCCAGAAAGTGCACCTTTTAACCGCCGCCGCGCGCCCGCCTCTCACGCCGTCCCTCCGCTCCTCTCCTCCCTAGCTCGGCGCCATGGCGTCTCAGGGTCCTCGGCGGAGGCCGCCGCGAAGGCCCGAGACGGTGGTGCGGGGAGAGGCGGCGGAGACCGATTCGGAGCTCTCTGCGTCCTCGTCGGAGGAGGAGGAGCTGTACCTCGGACCGTCGGGCCCGACGCGCGGCCGCCCCACCGGGCTGCGGGTGGCCGGGGAGGCCGCGGAGACTGACTCTGACCCGGAGCCGGAACCGACGGCCGCGCCGAGGGACCTGCCTCCGCTCGTGGTGCAGCGGGAGACGGCCGGGGAGGCCTGGGGGACGGAGGAGGCCCCGGCGCCCGCCCCCGCGCGCTCGCTGCTGCAGCTCCGGCTGGCGGAGAGCCAGGCGCGCCTGGACCACGACGTGGCGGCCGCCGTGAGCGGCGTGTACCGCAGGGCGGGCCGCGACGTGGCCGCCCTGGCCAGTAGGCTGGCGGCCGCCCAGGCGGCAGGGTTGGCGGCCGCCCACAGCGTGCGCCTGGCGCGGGGAGACCTCTGCGCGCTGGCCGAGCGCCTGGACATCGTGGCCAGCTGCTGCCTGCTGCCTGACATCCGCGGCGTGCCGGGGGCCGAGCCCGAGCAAGACCCAGGGCCGCGGGCCTAGCCTGGACCCCACGCCCCGCCTGCCTCTGCGTCCTGGGGGCTGAAGGGGGGCTTGTGACCTGACTCATACCCTGTATACCCCCCCTCCCATCTTGCTGTCATGCTCAGGGCCGACCCACCCCCTGGATAACGTTGTGTATGTGTGTGGGGGGTGGGGTGGGAGGGGGAGTGCAATGGTGCTCAGCCCCACCGCTTGCATCTGGTTCCTCCCGGTGGTCCTGGCCCTTCTCCCTGATGCCCAGCCTGTATCTGAGGCTTGGCTCCAGCCCCTGGATAACTGGCCACCTCTGGATCTGTCTCCATCTTGGGGGCTCACTGTGCCCCACCTTTCCTTGCGCTCTGCCTTTCTAAGTTTGGATTTGGCCCTCAGGGGCTGATGCTGCTTCTTCCCTGAGGAGCCCCAGCGTCTACTAATGGGGGCCGCCAATCTCCTCCCTCTACAGGCACCGCCCTTCCTCTGGGCTGCGCATCCTGCAGACTCCGAGCTTCCTGGCGCCTTCCTTCACCCTCCTGCCTCTGCCTCCACTCCTAGCTACACTTCTGGACCCTTTTTCTGTTCCCCAGGGCTGGCCCTGGTTCCCTCTTCCTCCTAGCTTTAGCCCTTGCTCTGCCACCTCCCGGCTGCTGCTCCTGGGGCTTAGCTCCTCCCCTTTGGCCTGATCCCTCTCCTGGGTCCAGTTTACCCTTAGGATTGGTTTTGCTTCCTTTTTGCGTTTCCCATCCTGCTCATACCACCTGCCTGATCCTGGGCTCTGGAAACCCTATGGTTTCTCATCAGGCCCAAGATGGGGCCGCCTCCTCCCCACTCTCCAGGCTCAAGATGGCATCTCATCCAGACCCAAGTGTGTGTGTGGGGGGTCCCCCACACTCTCCAAGCCAAGGTGGCACTTTGTGCCTGAGCGTGAGATACAAAATGGGCTTCCTCCTGACTCTCCAGGGGGACAGTGGCGCCCCTCAGGCACTTCGGGTCCAATATGACTGCCCTGGTACCTTGGGTGCGATATGATACCACTTTGCAGATAAGGGCCACACGCGTGGTGTTGGTTTACTGTTGACCCCAGGATGCTAAGAGGACTTGGATTTCTGTTCCTGCTTCTGGCTCCAGCCCTAGTCCCTCAGTCCCATTCACATGTATTCCCCTCCCCACTCTTTTATCCCAACCTAAAGCTGAGATCTGAGTCCCAGGATGGAGAAGTGTGGGAGAGCGCTCTATGGCAGATTCATTAAAAGGCAAAACATTTACTGACATGGTCAGTTCCTCTCGTCTCCCCACTTAGAGGGGTGGGTTGGTTAGCAATTTCTCTGAGAATGGGGATCCCAAGAGAGGGATCCTTCCTGCCTGGCCTTTTGAAGGTGAAGCTGTAGCTGAAAATGAGGGCCCCTAGTTCGTTTGTTTTTTGCTGGTTCTGCATTTATTTGTATTTTGTTACTGGGCACCTGTTCTGTGCTGGGCACGGGATGCAACAACCAGTACAGACCCTCACTGAGCTCACAGCCCACTGGGAGAGACAGACATTAATAAAATACTCTCGTAAATGGATGGATAGTTTTAATCATTATGATTTACAGTTTAGATTTAACTTTTCTGGCACTGTGATTTGTGTCATAAAGAGGTCCCGGAGTTTTGTGAGGGTGTAACTGCGATCTGGCCGACCTTGTCTGGGGAGACAGACGGGGAGGTCAGATGGTTTTGCTGAGGAAGCAGTGAGTGAGTCTGAGTTGAACCCTGGAGCTATAAATAGGTGGAGGAGTGGGGTGGAGAAGCCTTCCAAGCAGGAGGAACAGTGTATGCAGAAGCCCTGAATCAGAAGGGAGCACAAGCTATTTAAGTAACAGAAGGTGGCGACCAAGGACCAGGAAATGGGCTCTGAGCCGCATGTGGGAAGAGGGCATATAAAGGTTTGTTTACAAGGGCAGCAGAAATAGGAACCCACTCGTGGCAACGGCCCGCTGCCCTGGGTGCTTGTTTACATTGCTTTTGGGGGGATGGCAGCTGTGCTCAGCACTGCACCACCAATGCTTTTGTTTGTGGGAGAGGGAGCGAGAGAATTGACCCAAGTGTTTGGGGTGAAAGTTTGCGTGCCCTGAGATATTTCATGTCCGAAGTAGGTGACAGTTGTTTGCACCCACCGAAGTTTAGATCTGGAGGCTTTACGGCCTGTTCGGCTAGCGCCTTCAGGAGAATGAGGGGGTCTATAAACTCACCCTGACTAATGTGGTTACAGACTAAGAGGCCATCGATAAACTGAACAAGGTGAAGGCTACAAAGTCTACGCTTTAAGAGCTTGGGAAATACTGAGGGTGACTAGCAACATCGCCAAGGAATGGGAGTCCATGTTGTCTCCCTCTAAACATAAATGCAAAGAGAAGTTGCAAGTCAGGATGCAATGGCATGGAAAAGAAAACAGCAGAAGCAGTTACTGTAAACCAGGCTGTGTCAGCAGGAATTGCTGTGAGCGCGGACTGCAGGGTGACGAGGAATTACAAAAAGAGCTTACATGGTGCAAATCCGTAGATTTGATTCTCTTCTGCATCAGACTTCCCTTCTGTTGCAAGTAAGATTGAAGTACTGCAGGGTGAGGAAGGAAAGGTAAGAACAGCTTGCTGTTTAGGAGTCTTACAGGTTTGATTCCTTGTTATCGAGAGAGTGACTGAGACTAGAAATGAACTAGAATTGGGCTACAGGTGAGAAAGGGTTTATTCCTGTTCCAGACACTGCGTGTAAGTTCTGCACTTAGTAGTAATGCAGCCCCATTTGCATATGAGCCCCAAAGACTAAACATTTTAAGGTTCAGTCAGTCCTCTTCAGATTAATTTATATCTAGATGCTCTTCATGAGAGAAAGTAGGAAGTTTGAGGTGTGATCCGAGGGCTGGGACATAAAAAACATATTGGTGGTGTGGCGTTGAATTTCCATATCAAACCCACCTGAAAGGTGTCCGTGCCAGCCTGACAGGTTGAGCAGGGCTGAGGTAGGGAGGTGGGAATTGAGAAAAAAAAGACAGGAAAGCGGGCTCGGGAGGATTGCAGCAAGTTTATTAACCACACAATGCTGTTTATACACAAGACCCTGAATAGGAGATCTGTCAAGAGGAATGTATTCTTTGTTCCTCTTAACCACTAAGGGAGAGACAGAGCAGAAGGACAAATTCTCGGTACAGCAAATCTCAGTAAATAGTTACAGACTTCCTGGTAAGCCATGAAAGGCTGTTCTCATTCTACAAAGGTTGCTCTCATTCTACTGATCATCGCCATCCAAACAAGTCTGGGAAAACTGTGTGGGTAAGGGTCCCAGCTTAGCTAGCCCCTTCAGGTGCAAGGACCTTGTCAGCTTACACCTGGTCTCCAAGAAAAGGTTTGGTGAGGAATCCGGAACTAGGAAGGCATGGGGGATGAAAGAGGGCCTGAGGCTATCAGAGCGGCCTGAGTTGAGGCAATAAAACAGGTTGCCCAGAGATTCCCGACAGCTTGAATGGATTAGAGCTATGGTTCTCACCTTCTGGCCCTTTAAATACAGTTCCTCATGTTGTGGCCCAACCATAACATTATTTTCGTTGCTACTTCATCACTGTCATGTTGCTACTGTTATGAATCGTCATGTAAATATCTGATATGCAGGATGGTCTTAGGCGACCCCTGTGAAAGGGTCGTTCGACCGCCAAAGGGGTCTCGACCCACAGGTTGAGAACCGCCGGATTAGAGGCAATGGGTGGAGACAAATCCTCTGAGCCAATGGTAGGAGAAGCTGCACCAATGTCAGGGAAGAAATGCAGTTCCTGGTCCTCTGTTTTAAGTTAAGTGGCCAGAGCTGGGGCCTGACGGGGGATGGAAGTCCTCGATGGGGAATTGCCCCTGAGAAGGGGAAAAAGGACCTCCTGAGGCCCAGGCTGGGTAGCTCAGTTGGGTTAGAGCAGCGGTTCTCAACCTGTGGGGCGCGACCCCTTTCACAGGGGTCGCCTAAGACCATCGGAAAACACTTATATAATTACATATTGTTTTTGTGATTAATCACTATGCTTTATTTTTTTAAATATATTTTATTGATTTTTTACAGAGAGGAAGGGAGAGAGATAGAGAGTTAGAAACATCGATGAGAGAGAAACATCGATCAGCTGCCTCCTGCACATCTCCTACTGGGGATATGCCGGCAACCCAGGTACATGCCCTTGACCGGAATCGAACCTGGGACCTTTCAGTCCGCAGGCCGACGCTCTATCCACTGAGCCAAACCGGTTTCGGCAATCACTATGCTTTAATTATGTTCAGTTTGTAACAATGAAAGTACATCCTGCATATCAGATATTTACATGACGATTCATAACAGTAGCAAAATTACAGTTATGAAGTCGCAACGAAAATAATTTTATGGTGCAGCCACTGTGGAGAACAGTATG